TGTGCAAGAACACACAAGGAGGGTTCTTATTTGCAAAATATGGTTGCACGAAAATGAAACTGCAAATTAAATAGACTCAAACTGCAAAAAAAAAAAAACAATTGAAGTTAAACAAATGCTTCAAATCCACTTCGATTTCCAAACAATACATGCTTAAGAACAAGAAATCTAACTCAATACTCAGACTACATAATGAAAAAACTCAATTTTAAATCCGAACAAGATTAATGCAGCAAACTAATCTATTACAACGCCATACATACTTGAACAACATACTCTCCATCCTGTAGCTTCCTATAACTTTCATAACTAGACCAAGTAAGACTGTTTTCACTCGATCAACTAAAGTTCTCTGGTTATGTTAGCCACTGAAAGTTAAGCAATACTACTAAAGAAAGCAAATACTGGTTCAATCTTACAGCACTAACCAAAAGGCTGAGAACAACACTAACGCCCTTTTCCAGAGATGTTCTCATCTTGAAACTAGAATCAGAAAAGGCCTAAACATTTATCTCATTCTTCGACTAAAGTTCATTGTATCTTTCCTGCAACATAAAAGAAAGTCAAACAAAATAATAGGAAGACCACAAAAACAGTATAAGATAAACCAGAAGAACAAGGAGAATTAAACAGCATAAGATAAACCATCAAGAACAAGGAGAGTAACATAGAAACCATTGTTATGAGACAGAGAAAAAACTTAGTCTTGCCACATAACTTAAATAGAGAAACCATTTCTAGACAAGCTAATATCGGAACCCGGCCCATTGCTACAGATCTAACTCTGATAGAGAAAAGAGTGTTTCCGGTGGATTTCAATCTCAAAACCTGCGACGGAGATAGGTCAGACTTGGCGATTGAAGCAAGAGAAGCCAGTTATGGATCGAAACTTCTTCTTGTGGTGGGTTTCTAGATATTTCCTGGAAAATGAGAGAATTAATGGAAAGAGACACAAAGACGTTTTTTCTTCTCGATCCATCCACTACATCCCAAACACAGAAATCACAATTACAAAAAACCCTAATTTCCAGCAAACCAATCAGTAAGAATATAGTAGAAACCTCAATTTTCAACCTTCGATGAAGAGCTCGAACCCCTTCGGCGTTGCCATAACTCACTTGCTTATACATCAATTACCATTTCCAATCTAAGACCTTTCTGTGTCGAATCGAAGGACCACCAAGAGAAGCAAAAGAGCAAACGGGGAGCAGGAGGCGTGGAGGAAGGATTTTGGGATTTGAACGAAGATCTGAGATTGAAGAAGACCACGAAGAAGAGATGAAGGTTGAGTTCCA